GAGCTCACCTTCTCAAGCTTCCTTGGAAGCCATTTTTGACCGAGTTTTTGAGCCTCAGAATTTTACTCTCGCGACGATAAGGATGTCTACCCTCCGGCAACGAATTTGACTTGTACTGTAAATCTCATTCTATATATTGAATTCGTAATTCAGAAAATAGACAACTAACAGCCTTCAACTTCACAGGATATTCCATGCTGTCTATGTGGACCTCTTCTAAGTCAAGCGGTTTAGGAGTCATGGTCGTGGGGCTGAAGTTATGAGCAAATAGATTTTATCAAAAGAGAAAATTTATTATGAGATTTATGTGAGATACAGAATGCCCCAAAAAATATGCCTAATTTTGAGTGTCGATAACTCTCTTGCCATAAAGTTATTAAAAGCTTTAGGTACCATTTTGCAGAGCTGGCTTCAATTTAGATTACAGTATGGAGGAAGTTGCCGCTCTCTTTTCAATACTGTAGGATTACGGTAGAAACCTTGAGGAGGGGTTTTGCGTCATTGAGGAATATTTTACCCATAAGAAATGTCTAAAGATCGTGAGAATTCTTACTCTAGGTAGTCGGAGTCGCTGATTTCAAATATGAAACTTTCACCTTATTTTAAACCTTTCATAAATTATGCCAGATATACCGTACGAAATCGAATACGTCAGAAATTTTAGATAATAAAGCCAAAAGTTATGTGTTGGAATCAGCTTGCCTCGAGACCTTTTACATAATTTTCTAGACTTTTTCGGAAACTTCTCTGGAACTGCATCTCATCGTGTACTATATGCTGCGGGTTCCTACCGTAATCCCATAAATGAAGACACAGATAGGTAAATTGCTCCATACTGTAACTCTAAGCTGAAGCCAGCTCTACGAAATATAACTTTTTGAAAGATTTCATGACAAGGGAGTTATTAACAATCGAGCTCTTTTTTTGGGACACCCTATATATAAATGAAAAACGCAAGAAACTCTTGACTAAGACATGAAATAGGAAAGAGATGACCCTCCTCAGCTGGTCGTCCCTAAATACTGAGTACAAAGAGGCGGTCCGCGCGCCGCTTCTGTGGGAGTACTGAATCAGGGGTGTGAAGTGCAAATATACATGGACTGGCGATGATCGCGAACAAGTTGCGGAAATGACGGA